GGTTCACTTTAACCTATAGGAGTTGAAGATAATAGATAGCATTTGTAAAGAACAAATTCCCGCTCAAAAGCAAGCCTTATACATTTCACAATCTATACTATTTTCCCAGCAGACCAAATGACATTCTGGAACAATCTGAACTTCTTGGGAAGCATACAGTGCAAGCTGCCATTCTACAGGCGCTAAAACACTAACAAACTGACAATATTTTTCACTGTCTATGACCGGGTACCTATATTCCCATCTGGGTGAAGTGAGGGAAAATTTGTGTAAGTGTGTTTTTCCCAAGGATACAACGTCGGGCCTTACTTAGGCTCCTAAACCGCAACTATTCAATTATGAGTCAAGTAGCCTAACCACAAGGCTACCGCCACAAGTAGGAACAGTATAAAATGTTATTGAGTCATAAAAATGGTGAACAAAGTAAGGAGAGAGTCAAAAGAAAATTCTGTTTTAAATGTAGGTCCTTTTAAAGCCCCCATTAACACAATTTAGATCATTTAGGAGGAAAGCTTCCCCCTAGTGCCTCTCAGGGCCAACCCAGGCTGAGAGGGATATAACATCCCCCCGATACTCGATAAACATTCTCCTCACTCAGGAATCAAACTCAGATCTCCTACATGGCGCAGTGAACCACCTAATCACTACACCACAGCATTAGTTTCCTGATGTTTGTTTAATAATACTTAGCAAGCGAGAGTAGCACTTCACACAGAAGAAACAATTATAACTTACATAGATTTTCTCCAAGGCCCGTTTGGCCAGCCAGCAGTTGAAGAAGACGGGCACGAACAAGTCTTTGAGGACTGGCGGGTAGGCAAGCTGAGGGGGAGCAAGGATAGAACATTACCACTGATCAGCTTGAGTAAAGAGAAGTACATTGACACAATAATGGTCATTTAGTGATGAGAAAAAGTAAGACAGACAGACAGAAACAGTAGTGGGCAAGTAAAGAAGTAGTAGAGAACTACGACCTACCAGTGGCCCTCACCAACCACCCACTGACTGCTCAGTACAAGACCCCGCCTTAGATCACTTTTCAAAATGACATATAGCAGAGTCCTACACAAAACAGTCGATAAATTGTATCTGTGATATATCATGAGGTCCACCATTCTACCTTACAGACACGGCACTAATGATTCTTTGGAAAGGAAAAGCAAACACAATATTTTGTTGCTGACGCGAGCAAACCACATCAGTCCAAATTTTGAGAATTTTCTATTTTTACATCCTCTCAAAGCTGTATCCTCTATCAAAGATACTCCTTTCGGCATTACCAAAATGCAGTTTAATGCTATGGTCAAGGCTTACAATTTTCTTGCCTTTCATGATTCTTGATAGGAACAACATAACAAAACTAGTTTTTTTTTAAATGGCCAATGGATATAAGTAGATTGTTTGCCGCACTGACTATTTTTTCTTTATAATGTTTATAAATTATTGTAAAGAATGAGATACGAAAGCACTGATCAGATAGATCAACCTAGCAAGGTGCTTTTTTTCAAAACCTGGTTATGTGAATATAGTGAATAAAATTTCAAAATTGATCATTTGGAACAGAAAGGCAAACAAACCTTTTTGCCAATTAAACAATGTTAATAATGTCAATAAAGTGTCCCATATCATAACAGCTGATTTACCATAAAGCTCTCTCAGATTTTCTCAACAGAAACTCTGTTACACAAAGAGAAGGAATCATAATTAGATGAAACTGTTTATTTTTCCAGAGGTGACAATTTATAAATTGTGAGGCAGCATGTAGAAATCAGGCGCTCGTCAAAATAACGAAATCGGAGAAACAGGCATTCTCAGGCCAGACATTTTTATCAAATTTTTATGTTCTGGATAAACCTCTTTTATGTCAAGATAAAAACACATTTCCATGTGAATTTTACTGAAAAACATTAACTGAAGGCACACAATATGTTACTTTTCAGTTTTCAAAGACTCTTTAGCTATTGGAGTTACCAAACTTGCGCGACCATTTTCTTGCTAATTTCACCACAGAAACCAGGCAACCTCACCTTCTTCAATCACAAATATCTTGAGTTCCATCCAAGATAAATGGATTCTTATTTCATTGGAAGCAAGGCAAATAAATCAGCTTTCAGATGATACCAATAACTCCATATGCCCAAAAATTGACGAGCGCTTGATTCCACTGCGTCATGACACAATTACATCATACATGCCTGTACATATTACTGAAACTTAACTGCTTCTACTTACTGTGGCTAACATTGGAACAGCACAGATAATCTCCAGAAAGAAATTTTTGGTTAAAATTTGTTCCATTCTGTGACCCTGTGGATAAAGTGACATAGGATAGAACTTGTGTTGATGTGTGTGTGTGTGTGTGGAGGGGGGGGGTAGTGGTGGGCATAGGTGTGTGTGGAGGAGGGGGGGAGCAGTGCGTGTGTGTGTGTGTTTGTGTGTGTGTGCATGTGTGTGTGTGTGAGTGTGTGTGTGTGTGTGTGTGTGTCTGTGTGTGTGTGTG